GTGTTCAGCGTTCCTGTGTTCAGTGTTCATGTGTTCACATGTGTTAAGTGTGTGTGTTCACGTGTGTTAAAAACATAAAGCTTAATAATTCTTCTAACAGAGTCAGTGAAGCTTCTTATCAACCCCCCCCCCCTTAGAGTTGTAGGTTTGATTCCCGTCAGTTTACTTCATGAACAGTTTTCTTGGTTTGCTCTGTTGTGACTCACTAACCGATGGAGTTTCATCATCTGTAAAGATGTTTGATTTATGACGGCCACTCGTGATCGACCTAATTAGTTGAAGTCAACCTTGTGTCGGCAGAGTTTGTTCTTTATGTCTCACACATGATCAAGTGTAAGATAAACATACATGTAACATGTTTCTTTATTTGAGAGGTTGTCCTGTTCTCAGCTGTTTCCTTTTGTTGTGCTATTGTTGTAGCTCCACCTTGTGGCTGTGTTAGGATTAACTGTAACTTAAAGGTTCAGTGTGTAGAATGTACCCCTCCCCCCAGTCTGGGCTACTGTAAAAAACATGGTGGCCTCCTTAGAGAGGACCCTCTCCTGATGTACATATAAAGTATTTCAATATAAAGTATTTAAATATAAAGGGCACATTCTCGGGTAAAGAAAACAACAATTTGTACAAATTAGATGAAACATTATTTTATATTTCTAACAATAGATCCTTTCACCAGTTAAACATGTCTAACAGCTCATTACATGTTAAAGTCTGTTTTATACATTTTATATTTTTCATTCAGAAACAACACACACACACACACACACACACACACACACACACACACACACACACACACACGTCTTTATTTCTCCAACAGGAACTTCTGAATGTGTTTTGAACACCTTTTTAACGTGTTAATGTGTGTGTTCACGTGTGTGTTCACGTGTGTATATTAACACATCAAACAATCAACCTGAAATAAAAACATATATATTTTGAAATGGCTGTTCACAACTCACATGTATGTTAATGTTAATATGAACATATATCATGAGTTTTACATGTATGTTATATATACCAGACTGTAAGAGTCGGATCCTCGTCATTACCATGACAACAGACTGAAGAGCCAATGAGATTTTTGTTGGAGAGGACCCCCCTCTCACACACACACACACACACACACACACACACACACACACACACTCACACATATACACACAGACACTGAATTAATTTGTTCAGCTTGTTAAACAGACTGACAACTATTGACACTTTCCCAGGAAATAGACTGATCCCTCTGCTCCAGTTTCACATCAACCTGCTGCAAAACGTTTCTGTTCAGTTGTGTCTGTTTGTGTTTTTGTGTTTTGTTATTGGCACAACAGGTTGACACACAACTCAATCAAAGTTTAATTGTTTTGCATTGAATGACAACAAACCCTTCAGGCTCTTTACATTGTGTTGTTGAAACACAACAGCCACAAAACAGAAACACAACAGAAACAACAGACACACAAGGAACGAACACTTGGTGACCCCCCCACCCCCCTCATGCCTCACTCCTCCAGCTCACTCTCACTCTGAGCTGCTGAGCCTGTGTGACCTGTGACCTCTGTTGTCTAAAAGCACTGGAAGCATTCTGCTGCGTCTTGTTGTTTTAATCTGAAGGTATTTCCTGTCGTCAGCAGCAGCTCCACAACCACATGATCCTGATCCACGTTCTGGATCCACAGTTAAATCTGATCTACAGTCAGGAGGAGCCACATCCTGGACCTGATCCCAGTACTGATCCTGGTCCTGATCCTGATCCTGGTTCTGGACCTGGAACTGGTACTTGTTCAGGTTCTGGGCCTGGGGCCTTTTCTACGAAGTGAGTTCAACATATCAAGGATATCTGTCAGTTATCCAGCTGAACTTAAACTAACAATCACAGTCATGTGGTCATGACGATGGTTATTAACTCACATGAAAGGGGCGGGGTTTACTACATATGACCACTCACAGACATGGACAGTTTGACTGACAGCAGAGCCTCATATTTAACGAGGATCAAACTGTTGTATAATAAAAATCCTAAGAACATGATGTCATGGTTCAAAGGAAGGGACTGGTCTGTGGGTGGAGCTTTCATACTGTTTGATCTCTTATCTCCAACTTAACCTGGAGCAGGTCAGCTGATCACCATGTTACCATGGTGATTTACCCGATAACAAGGGAACGAGCTTCGTAGGACTGAAAACTCTGAATTAAACTTGAAGTTACCACTTCGTAGTACAGGCATCAGTTCTCAGGTTGACACACGATTCAATCGAAGTTTATTTGTTTTTTCATTAAATGACAACAGGCGTCATCTCAAGGCTCTTTACACAATGTTGTTACAGAGAAACACAACAGACACAAAACAGAAACAACAGACAATGAACCAACACTTGGTGACCCCCCTCCTGTGCCTGGGAGACCCTCCCAGCATATTCAGCTGAAACTACGTCGGCGTGTTGATAACGTGTTTTGTGTTTCTGTGGGTTCTGTTGTTTTTCAGCCGAACTGCTGAGCCTGTGTGACCTCTGACCTCTGATGTGTAAAAGCAGTGGAAACGTTCTGCTGCGTCTTGTCGTTTTAATCTGAAGGTATTTCCTGTCGTCAGCAGCAGATCCACAACCATGTTCTGGATCCACAGTTTACAGCCGATCCACAGTCAGGAGGAGCCACAAATAAAGCAGGTTCTGATCCTGGAAACACACACACACGCACACACACACACTTGATTGACAGCTTCCGTCTAACATGGTGTCGTCATGGTAACCTGCATCATGGATTTACATGGTCACAATGTGGAGAAGCAACAGTGCCATCTGCAGGTCGGTTCAGTTACAGTCACATTTACTATTTAAATATTACAAATAAAACGTTTCACTGTTTTGTCGTCTCTCTGCGTCACTGGCCTCTGATTGGTCAGTCAGTTACCATGGTGATTTACCAGCTGATGAAACCTGAGGTTACCTGAATAACCACGTTTACTGACACTGCTCCCCCTGCTGGTCACACAGAGCTCTGACCCCACCCCCAGCTTCAGTTCACACTTACATTTCTGTCATTAATATAATAAAAATAAAACAACATCGCTGCATCGTCCCATAAAACAGGATATGACGTAGTTTCTATAGTTAGTCAGTACTTAGTTTGTATTAGCATTTGCTGTTTGAGAAACCGGAAATGGTTCTAAAAGCCTTTATTGTGAAACGTGAGTAAGCCGGAAGTTGGCAGTTAGCTTGCTGTAGCTAGGTGCAGCAGTGTGTGTGTGTATGTGTGTGTGTGTGTCCAAGTACTAACATGTTACCTTTATCTGTCAAAGACGACGAGTACAAACCCGCGAAGTTGAACCTGCTGGTGAAGCTGTCAGGATGGTTCAGGTAAACTCAACCTGCTAACACTGCTAACCTGCTAACCTGCTAACTGCTGACGCTACAGGCACCGTTAGCCTGATGCTAGCCGGCTAGCCTCGGTCAGTCCGTGGATCAGTGAAATGATGGTGTCGGTGGTGGCTGTCGGTCAGTGACGGGGTTGAAGTGTGACGCTGTGGCGGGGCTCAGGTCCCGGTGAGTCCCGGTGTGTGTCCCCGGCTCAGGCTGACGGAGCTCTGTTGTTTCAGGTCGATCCTGGCGGATAAAACCTCCAGGAACCTGTTCTCCTTCCTCTGCCTCAACCTCTCCTTCGCCTTCGTGGAGCTCTCATACGGGATCTGGAGCAACAGGTAGGCCGACAGAGGCGACTGCTGCTCCGGTATCAGGCCGGCAGGTCCTCAGGATGTGCCACGTATGTGTTAGTGTGATTGCGTGTATCTGACGTGTGTGTGTGTGTGTGTGTGTGTGTGTGTGTGTGTGTGTGTGTGTGTGTGTGTGTCCGACGTGTGTGTCCGACGTGTGTGTCTGACGTGTGTTGTCTGTGCGTGTGTTGTGTGTTTGACGTGTGTGTCTGACGTGCGTTGTGTGTTTGACGTGTATTGTGTGTCTGACGTGTGTTGTGTGTGTTTGACGTGTGTGTCTGATGTGTGTTGTGTGTTTGACGTGTGTATTGTGTGTTTGACGTGTGTGTGTCT